TCTCTCTCTCTCTCTCTCTCTCTCTCTGTGTGTGTGTGTGTGTGTTCATGTGCCTGCATTGTGTGTTCAGAGGACAACATGAATGAGTTATCTCCTTCCTTCTTCCATGTAGATCCTGGAGACTGAACTCAGGTTTATCAGGCTTGGTAACAAGCACCATTGAACCACTCCATCTGCACCAGATTCTTGCTATTTTAAGCCAGTATTGCTGAGAGGGTAACACTGGGCAGCCAGAGGAAATGCAAGTGGGATCATAAAATGTCTGCTTTGCTTTTCCGGATTCCAGATTAAACCCGAGTTCCAGTAATAGCTTTACCATCTCTAATATTTTTCACCTTCCCCACAGCACGAGTCCTGGCCTTCTATCATTCATCTCACAGGTGCTGAGTACCCATCATGTACAGGAACCACACGAGATACTGACAATACACATATGCAGTGATGAAACAACACAGCCGCTCTGCTGGAATTTACAGCCTAATGGTGACGTAAGACCATCCCTTCCATTTCTGACATTCAGACATGGCAGGGTACACTAGGGTAGAACTGTATGAGCATCGATCCAAACTCAGAATATCCGAGTTCAAATGCCGTTACCCAATGACATTGGGCAGGTTTTGACTTAATGTCTCTGCATCTCACCTTCCTGTCAAGTGGGGACAGTGGTATGTGCAATGCTTTAGGAGTGATAGAACGCTGTGTGCAGCGAATAGCTGCCATTCGGTGCACACTCACCGCTTGCTCATTCCTCATCCCGATGTATCGGATGCCCAGTTCCTGTGCCGCAAGGGCGATTTCGGTCACGGGGATGCCTACGACGCCGAACATATACTCCACATTCTGGGGATAGGGGATGGGAAACAGAGGAATAAACGCCGGTCACCATGTCGGTAACCCAGTCTTCTCGTCCTTCCCGGAGATACAAAGGAAGGACCAACACGGCCAACCCTCCCCCACCCTACCCCACCCCGCCACCTCCATGACAGAGCCTGGCCCCCCGCCTGCTTCCACAGAGCCTTTGACTCCATCGTACTTGCGTTTTCAGGGCCTGGACGATGACTTTAGCACCAGACACCTGCTCCTCGCTGCTGCCGCTACCTGGCATCTTTCACCTAGAGTTGCTTCAAGGGACTCTCGCGGCCTACAGCTTCACTAGCCAAACAAGCTTCAGAGTCAGGCGCTCGCTGTTGGTGACACCCGCTGACCGACAGGAGGGCAGCCAACCGATTTTAGCAAATGGGAGAAGGGGCGGGACTAGGAGGAGTCAGTCTTCAGTGAGGTGATAACGTAAACACGCCCATTCCCCAGTGATTTTTCCCGATTCCGCTGTCTGCTGAGGCGAGATGAACCGGAGATCGCGGCCTACGCCAAGCAGGTAAGACACCCAACTTCTGAGGTGGCGTCGCTATGGCTTCGGTCTCCACTAAGCCCCTGGTAGGCTCAGGCCCGCGTAGGCCGGTGGCACATGCGCACTTCCAGGGTGAAGGCAGATGGAGACCGAGTGGGGGAGGGGGCGTGGCCCCGGCGCGCGTCCCCGCCCCCGCCGAGAATTCTTGCTGGTGGGGCGAGCCGCGCTAAGGCTGCTGGGATGCTAGTAGCCTGGAGAGGGTTTGAAGTTGAGGATAATGGCCTGTGGGTCGTGTTGTCATGCCTCGGTGCTCCCTGGTTTCATAACTTTGTGGTTTTCCACTCCATAGAATGCACGTTAAGTCTGCGAGTAAAAGTCTACTCTTTATCATAGATGACACCAAGCTTGCTTGTTCAGAGATAAACTTGTCCAGAGCATTCTTCACACCGCAGCTGCCCCTGCTCTCTGCCCTGTTTTTTTATTTATGTTTGTTCCAGTTGAGTATTACTAAGGTCTGTTAGAGCCATAAGTTAATAATTAAATGTATGATTGCATGAATTTTACCAAAGTAATAATGTTGGTTGTTTTCTAGTTATCGGTTCAAGGCTAAGCCTGCTTGACAGGCTTGTCAAGCAGCAGCACCTGCTGTATAGACAATAGTCAAGTCGTAATACCTTGCATGGATTTCTTTCTCAAAACAATCGCTGCCAGAACTCTGTATGAAGTGCAAACTGAACTCTGATTGTAACAAATCGCTGTAATTCAGATTTTTTTTTAAAGGATCATTTTCCAACTGGCCATATTTTGTCATTTAGCAAAGAGAAAAGTCACCGAGCTGGTTCTTGTCTTCACCTTGCAGTTCACGGTATAGTATTCATGCTTCCCATGCCTGTAGTGGTTCGGCAGAGGTGATGTGAATCCTGACCACAAGGCCTTTAAACTCCAGCACTTGGAAAATGGAGACTGGTGGATCTCTGAGTTTGAAGCCAGCTAGTTTACCTAGTGTGTTTCACGCCAGGACTATGTAGAGAGATCCTGTCAAACAGGAAGAAAAAAAAAAAAGAAGGAAAGGAAGGAAGGAAGGAAGGAAGGAAGGAAGGAAGGAAAGAATTGGCATTGTTTTTACATTCACTTATTACTCAAAGGAAGAATCTTTTTTTTTACAAAGTGCTAGTGATTGAACCTAAGACCTTGTGCATATCAGGCAAGCACTCTACCACTGAACTATATCCCTAGCCCCAAAATTTAACTTTCTTTAAAAAACAGAAGGCTAGGGGATTGGAGAGATGGCTCAGTGGTTAAGAGTAGTAGCTACTCCTCAAGATGACCTGAGTTTGATTTCCAGCACCCACATGGTGCCTCACAAAAAAAAAAAAAAAAAAAAAAAAAATTCTAGTTTCAGGGAAACTGATGCTCTCTTCTGGCCTTGGAGGGCACCAGGCACACACATGGTGCACAGACATGCATGCAGGCAAAACACCCATACACATGAAATAATAAAAAAATAGAAAAGAAAAGAAAAGGCAGACAACAAGCTTTCCAAAGGTCAGATCCAATCATCAGAGTCTAAATAGTGATTATTAATTATAGCAATCTAGATCTGACATTATGAGAAACGGGCTTGACAACTTTCTTCCAAGTGGGTGAAGATACTATCTAGGTAACCGTGTGATTTAGTAAGAGCTGTAAGCAGGGTGTGATGAGGCATGCCTATAATACCTGTATTCAGGGGCTAAGGCAGGAGGATCACAAGGTAAAGGCCAGCCTGGGCTACAGAGTGACCCTGACTCAAAACTAAATGATTTTAAAAAGAGAGTTGTAATATTATGCCCAGAGAAGATTAAACTTTCAGAAGAGGGCAGCTTCTATAGACAGTAATTCCATGACCCCCAGATTGTGATTTTTATCTCTGTCAGTTCACGAGAACATTAGGGATCCTTGTGCTCATTTTTAAGCACAGCCCTAGCTGAACCTTTGAAAAATAGATCATGCTTTACCAAAATGTACTGCTCAGTTGTTAAAGAACGAGTCAGGGTTATTTGTTATTCTAACTTCATTTTGTTGTGACAGACACCATGCCTAAAAGCACGTTCGGGGAGAGAAAAGTTTATTTTATCTTACACTTCCAAGTCATACTCCATTTTTGAAGAAGGTTGTCAGGGTAAGAACTCAAGACAGGAACCAGGAACCATGGAGGAACCTGCTTGCTGGCTCACTCTCTGGCTTACTCCCAGCCTGGTGCTTGACTAGCTTTTGCAGATAGCCTGGGACCATCTGCATTGTGAGCTAGGCCCTCCTGCACTGACTAACATTCATCTTGATTCCTCCCTCACAGAGGGATGCCCAGAGACCAACAGTTACTTTATGGAGACTCATTTTTCAGTTAATTCTAGCTGTTTCAAGTTGACGATCAATGCTAACTAAGAAATTTGTGACATATTGTAGAATGGCTAAAAATCAAACTGGCTGACAATAGGAGAAAACGGAAACAGTATGTATCTTCTTCTCTGGTATCGGGATTAAACTCAGGGCCTTGTGCATGGTAGGCAGCTACTACACCTTTGGGGCTGGGAGCAAATACTGAAGTCAAGGCCACCAAAGTTAGATGAGCAGAAGCAACTTTATTCCACCACCATGGGTTACCAGAACTTCTAATTAATTAGGGCCACAGGCAGGTGGGGATCTACATTGTGACCCAGAACATGGGGAGTAGGTCCTTTTTAAATCAAAAAATGTAAGTGGGGTCAGGGGTGATATAAGAAAAAGTATTTTTATAATTTGAGGTTAAGTCCTGGGTGACAGTACATTCCTGGAATTTACAACTTGTGATAACATTTTATAATTACTAGTACAATTTGTGATAACAAGATATTTGTACAAGCTTAAAGGGGGGGGTTGTAGAAGCTTGTTTACACTAGTCTGTGGTTATCTTAACACAGCTGGGGGCCTGTCTTAATTTTTAACCAACTGTTCTCCCTGTGACTGAAAATATAGGGCAAGGGTCAAACAATAGAAGAAGGTTGGTAGGTGGACTTACAGTCAGTCTTACCCTGGGCCCTTCATATCCCTAAGCCCTGCTTTTACTTTGTTATGGTAAGACCAGGTTTTACTAAATTGTCCAGGTGGGCCTTGAACTTTGGGTCTTCTTGGCTCAGCCTTCTGAGTAGCTGAGAGTGCAAAGCTATGGCACCTGCAAGTAAAAAGCCAGGGTCAAAAATAAGAAAGAAATCTATATAAAGGGCTATTTTTAAAACAACCCTTAAACTATACAGCAGGAAATGTGCTGTAGGAAACATGTCAGCAGAGACAGAGCAGGCATAAAATAATGTGATAAAATGGTTGGTCGAGTGAAGCAGGTTAAGTCGATTTTGTTTGCTTCTCTTTAAATTTATGACCTGTGTAGTAGCAAAGTTTAGAGATAGGGTTGAAAAAGAAAAAACAAAACAATGGAAAACAACGTTATATTCTCCAGCTATCAGGGACAGCTCAATAATAACTCAGTAATAAAAGCTGCTGGTCCCTGTTTTGTTGAAAGGCACTGAACACATTACCCTGGTACCCTCTGACCTAGAGAAAGCTCATTCCTGCCAAGGCCTGGACTTTGCTTTAGCAGTGTATTGCAGCCACAACTTAGAACTGAAGCAAGGAACGGTATGGAAAGAAAAGAGAAAGAATGGTTTCCCTGTTTTATCCATTATATATTTGTTTTGTCTTTCTTTTTCTTTTTAAAGTAAATTTGAACGAGTTTAACGTTAGCAATAACCACCACAATGATAATGTGTGCAATGAGATAAAACTGCAGAGTTCCCAGGGTGTAGGGTTGAACTGGGGACACTTTCATAACGAAAGACTTAATTAAGCCCATTACCTGGTTCATCAAAACCTTTGAGCTCCTTCTTGGGGCTTATCAACAACTTATTGTTTACTTTTTTTTTTTTCCGAGACAGGGTTTCTCTGTATTGTTTTGGAGACTTTCCTGGAACTCACTGTGTAGACCAGGCTGACCTCGAACTCACAGAGATCTGCCTGCCTCTGCCTCCCAAGTGCTGGATTAAAGGCATGAGCCACCAATGCCCATCTTATTGTTTTCTTTTTTAAGATTTTATTTATTTATTATGTATGCAGTTATCTGCATGCATGCTTGCACAACAGAAGAAGGCACCAGATCTCATTACAGAAGGTTGTGATCCACCATGTGGCTGCTGGGAATTGATCTCAGGTCCTCTGGAAGAACAGCCAGTGTTCTTAACCTCTGAGCCATCTCTCCAGTCCTGTTTTCTTATAGGAAATATTTGTAGCGTCTTTCACACACAGGAAAGGAACAGAAGTCACTACATACCCATAAACCATCTTTTAACTCAGTAAACACACACACACACACACACACACACACACACACACACACACACACAGTGGGCCTCCTGTGTGGGTGGCCCTCCCTGGCTGCATATCTTTTCCCATTACTTTAAACTTAATGTTTATAGTACCTTCATTATCTATTTTCTGTTGTTATAAAAGGGTACATGAGACTAGGCATTATCTAGTTGCTCGGTGATGCTGGGGAGGCAATTGTTCCACCTCGATGCCTGGTCTTCCCCCAGCTTTTTATTTTGAGTCAGGGTCTGTGAGTTGCCTAGCCTGGCCTTGAACTCATGCTGTAGCCCAGGCAGGCCTTGAACTGGTGAGCCTTTTGCTTTAGCTTCCCAAGTAGCTGGGAATTATGGAGTCTGCTTTACCAACCCTGGCCACTGCTCAGGACTTTATAAAGACACTTATTTTGTCCACTGTTCTAGCAGCTCAGAAGTCTGGGAGCCCATGGCTAGCATCTGTTTTTGGTGAGGATCTCAGAGTAGAAAAACAAGCAGAAATATGAGGAAGAGAAAAGAGGGCAAAACTAGAGATGACTAACTCATTCTTAAACAATTCATGAAGATGAATGACTGAGACACCTTCCACTGGATCCCACCTTCCAGCATGGCTGTGTTGAGGTAAAGATAACATTTAGGAGACCACATACTAACAGTAGT